TACACATTGATGGAACTGGGACTTAAAACTGGAAAGATACAAAAAATTATTTAAACCAAGATTAAAATTAATCTAAATTAGCAGAAATGGATCTTAGTATCAATTACAATTAATTAATATTATTTATATTATCGATCTCTCAAAATGTTAATTTGTAAAAGAAATATAACTTGACGGATGTATTTGGAATTATACGAGAAGTTAAATGTAAATAAAATTATGATACAAAATAAACGATTTATCTGATACCAAAGTCTGAATATTCTCTTTAATTTGAGCTCCATTTAAAAAGTTGCACCCTGATGCTTTATTGTCAATCGCATTTAATTACGAATTACTAATATCGCTTCAAAAGTATAAACGACGACTATCGCAACGAATGAGAATTTTTACGTTGCAGAGATTACTGAATTTGAAAAAAATTCCGACGAATTCATTAGAATATTGGACAATTTAGCAAAGGAGGTGGAGAAAGAGAAAATGAAGACGATTGGCGCACGGAATCTGCTGCGTTCCGTTGCGAAGCAAAGAGAAGCCCAGAAACAGCAAATGGAGGTTCTTAAATAATTATATACCAGACATACCTAATATTTAGCAGCGTGTATTCATCGTTTAAATGATAGACGATGCAAGAATTATGCTATCTTTGGCCGGTATTCATAGTCGGTTCTTCTTTTGGCTGTAATCACTATTTATGATTAAATTTGATTATTTTGAACATCTCATCAAATTCTGATTAATTAATTCGGCGATTAATTTACCGAATAATATCTACATTTATTAATGTCGATAGAATAATTAATTTTGTATTGTTTGACATACAAAAAGAAAGATTAGATTAATAAAGAGTTACGTATTGGAAAATTTATTGTAATTCTGGTTAAGAGAGAGAGAGAGTTAATTGAATTAATTATAATCAAAATTAACTTAAGATTGGACCATTAATATCGCTGTATGCCAATGATCGATTATTGCCTATTCTCATTGTAGGCATTGATTTTGGAAAAGTCTGTGGAACTGGAACGGCTAAGAGTACAATACGATTCTTACAAGAAGATCGAAATGGAACAATTAGAAACTATCGAGCATTTATCAGTGACTTAATGTAACATTTTATAACTTCCGACTGTATCTCTGTTGGTTCATCAAATTTTTTTTATCTTTTTGCCAATAAATAATACAATAATTTTTAAAAGCATCAATATTTGTTATGAGTCAATGTTTTTCAAAGAATTGTAAAAATAGTTTTGAAAACACTCTGATTAACTTAATCGATAACTAACTCGTCGTATTATATTTGTTATGGATATAATTATTTATTTTATTTTGTTGATTTGAAAAAAAGATTAATTTTATAATTTACACTTTTTTATTTAGAACAAATTTTATCACATAAGTTATAAACGTCACTGCCAAAATTATCAATTTCTTCTTCATCAATATCACTGTCAATGTCGTCATCTTCTATAAGAGCTAATGATTTTATTTTCATTAATAAATCTTTTTTTGGATTTGTTTCATCTTCATTCCTGTCCTTACTATTAGTTTCATCTGTATCAGTATTCAAACCAGAAGTACTAGGTTTGCTATTATTTTCCTTACTTTTTACTAAAAATAAAGTAGGATTAAGTTTAATAATTATATGTGCATAATAAATATATAAATAAAATTCTACTTAACAATATGAACACAAAATACATACTCGATTGTCGATTCATATAACGTAACAATGTTCTTCGTTTTCGTTCTGACAATGTTTTCATAATTGCTTTAAATTCGGCATCCAATTTAATTTGTTCTTCCTTACTGCATGTTCCTTCTACAACTTCTGTCTTCTGTCCACATTTTGAACATACTCCTTGTTGCTTGGCGCAAAGTAAGCAGATATTATGATAAGAATGTTTCACAGTTTTTTGTTCACATTTAATACATTTCACGGGAGCTTTAAGCACTTTATATTTTTTGTATTTGATCTTCCACTCTATTATTTTTTTGCAACGTTCACATACTTTGGTAACTTCGGTGCTATTAATTTGTTTTATTTTTTGAGATTTGTCATATAGATTATTTTTAAATGATTTTTGATTTTGATATTTTTGAGGCCTCGAACGATTAGCATTTCCCCTTTGACAACTCATGTTTCTATTATTATATTGTAATATTATCAAAATTTAAATAATATAAGAAAGAACTCTTTAAACTATTAATAAACCGTTGCAAATTTTATGACCTGAAAACAAAAGAAAATATAAGTTTTTTATAGATAGTATTTTAAGATGCTTATTATAGCTTCACATCGTTAAATTTATACTCAATGCAACGTGTGATGTTATTCCCAACTTCAGTTTAATTGTTTCAAGTTTCACAAATCAAAACGGTATGCAATATATAAATCTGAAAAATATGTTTGTAAGTCTACATATAATATTATTATGCACGGCCCTTTTTACACCGTTAAATCGGTCAATACGTGTATCAAATTGATGCGGATTAAATACTTCATATGTCCTTATTTACACCGATCTGTCTCATGACAGATTTGGTTAGGTGACATGATATCGTCACTTACGAGATATACCTAAACTTT